ATGTTCCTCCCCTGGTGGTGGCACCCCAAGGCCTCCCTGTGCCCCCAGCCCCTCACCCCTCCCTGGCAGCCTCAGCTCCCACACTCACCCAGGAGCAGGAATTTCCTGCTGTCCCCGTAGAGCTGCTTGAGGTTGATGCAGAACTCGTGGATGGAGGCCCCGTTGCGGTACTCGTGCAGCAGCATGGCAAACTGCTGGATCTCCTGCGAGGACAGCTTCGTGCGCAGCTGCGGGACAGCACGGCCCTCATGGCACCCGGCACGGGGCCGGGAACGGCCCGGCAGGACCGGGAACCCGGCACGGGGCCGGGAACGGCCCCGTAGGACCGGGAACCCGGCATGGGGCCGGGAATGGCCCCGTAGGACCGGGAACCCGGCATGGGGCCGGGAATGGCCCCGTAGGACCGGGAACCCGGCACGGGGCCGGGAATGGCCCCGTAGGACCGGGAACCCGCGGGGACGCAGGGTGAGCTGTGGGGCCACTGGCACTGGGGCACGAGGGGACTTGGATGCTGGGGAAGGGAAAAGTGTGGGGGGAAAGCAGAGAGACCCAGAGGAGGCTCCAGAGCTGCTCCAGGGCTGGGAGAGCTGGGAATGTTCCCCTGGAGAAGTTCCAGGGAGAGCTCAGAGCTCTGCCAGGGCCTGAGGGGCTCCAGGAGAGCTGGAGAGGGACTGGGGACAGGATGGAGGGACAGGACACAGGGAATGGCTCCCACTGGAAAAGTGGTGATTTAGATGGGACAAAATTCTTGGCTGGGAGGGAAGTGAGGGACTTGAGTGGATTTCCCAGAGAAGCTGTGGCTGCCCCTGGATCCCTGGCAGTGCCCCAGGCCAGGTTGGATGGGGCTTGGAGCAGCCTGGGCTAGCGGAAGGTGTTCCTGCCATGGCAGGGCGTGGGCTGGGATCATCCTTACAGCCCCTCTCCGCCCAAACCATTCCATGTTTCCATGACATGGGCCCACCATCAGGCCCTCCAAGCCCAGTCTGGCTGGGAAGGACAAGCTGTTCCTCCAGCCCTGTCCCTCCCTCAGGGGCCAGGTCCCAGCCCCTGGTCCCAGACGCCAGTCCCGGTGCCAGCTCCCAGCCCCAGCCCAGCTCCCAGCCCCGTCCCAGCCCCATCCCAGCTCCCAGCCCCATCCCAGCCCCACCGTCATCATGTAGTCCTGGAGCAGCTCGGTGGCCGTGGTGCTGAGCTCGCTCTCGCTGGCCGTGGTGACGTGTGGGGACGGCTGTGCCGAGAAGGAGGACGGGGACGTGTCCCCCGCTTCCAGCGTGTCTGCAAAGGAACTGAGCCCGGCACGCCTGAGCCCCCACAGCCCTCGGGGAGCTGCTGCTGGGGGGAGCTGCTGCCGGGGTTTTGGGAGTGGGGCTCTGACCCTTGGGGGGCCTCCCGACCCAGGACGGTCCATGATGCTGGAAGCCCCCAGCTCCTGAGGGCACCCCAAGACTCGCAGGGAACTGAGCACTGCTGTGGTGACAGTGACAGTGGGGAATTCCTCTGTGGGGAATTGTCCCTGTGGCTGCTTCCTCACTGGGAAAAGTCCCCACGCTCCCTACCTTGGGCTTAAACGTGCAATTTTCAATAAGGTTCCCAATTCCCCCATGCTAAACACTCCTATTTATGTTGGCTATTCCCAGAGCAAAGTTAACCAGCTGTTTGGGTTTCATCCCACAAACACTGCTGATGCTTCCAGTGATCCAGAAGGGAGAAGCTTCCCAGGTAAGAAGTTTTTGGGGAAAACCCTTCTCCCAGCTCCAGCAGTGACCCCGCACCATGCTGACACAGGCACTGCTGGCTGTGGACGTGACTCCTGGAATGCTGAGGGCACAACAATCCAGGCCCAGGCAGGATTGTGCCAAGCCCCGGGGCCCGCCGGGCTCAGCAGCGTGCTGATGGCAGCAGCCCCGGGCTAATCCCCGCTCCAGGGCCATGGATCACTCACAAAGTGCTGGCATCTGCCTCGAAGGGCTCCTTCACGTCCACTTTGGTGGAAGAGTCATCTGCAGGGGAAAAATTTGGGAGATGGGATGTGAGAGGCACAAACTCGGTGTCTTCCCAAGCCAGGAGAGACACAAAGTGATTTCCTGACTCGGCTGGAAGGGAGAAAGCCGGGAGTGAAGGACTGGGTAAGAGGAACCAGCCTCAGGCTGTGCCAGGGGAGCTTCAGGCTGGATCTCAGACGGATTCCTTCGTGGGAAGGGTGGTCAGGCATGGAACAGGATTCCCAGGGAAGGGTGGAGTCCCCATCCCTGTGGATGTGACACCTGGGGACACGGGCAGTGCTGGGGGCTGGGTGGGCTCGGGGGGTCCTGAGGCTTTCCCAACCTCAGGCACTCCTGTGTGTGAGCCTGGGGAGGTGCAGGGTGGGCTCGGGGGGTCCTGAGGCTTTCCCAGCCTCAGGCACTCCTGTGTGTGAGCCTGGGGAGGTGCAGGGTGGGCTCGGGGGCTCCTGAGGCTTTTCCAGCCTCAGCCACTCCCAGCTCTGGCCCTGAGGAGGTGCTGGGGGCTGGGTGTGCTCGGGGGTTCCTGAGGCTTTCCCAACCTCAGGCACTCCCAGCTCTGCCCTGGGGAGGCACTGGGTGTGCTTGGGGGTTCCTGAGGCTTTCCCAACCTCAGGCACTCCTGGCTGTGGCCCTGGGGAGGCACTGGGTGAGCTCAAGGGGTCCTGAAGCTTTCCCAGCCCCAGGCACTCCCAGCCCTGGCCCCGGGGAGGCACTGGGTGAGCTCAGGGGGTTCCTGAGGCTTTCCCAACCTCGGGCACTCCTGGCTGTGGCCCTGGGGAGGCTGGGTGCGTTCAGGGGGTCCTGAGGCTTTCCCAACCCCTGGCACTCCCAGCTGTGGCCCTGGGGAGGCACTAGGCGGGCTCAGGGGTTCCTGAGGCCTTCCCAACCCCATCCACTCCCAGCCCTGGCCCCGGGGAGGCCCCAGGGAGGTCCTGAGGAGGTCCTGGGGAGGTGCTGGTTGTGCTCAGGGGTTCCTGAGGCTTTCCCAGCCCCTGGCACTGCCAGCCCTGGCCCTGGGGAGGTGGGGGCAGCAGCAGCCCGGGCACAGCTCTCACGCACCGCTGTGCAGGGACAGGTGCCGTGTGGGCGTCGAGGCGCCGTCGAAGATGGCGCGGTCCAGGAAGTCGATGGTGGACTCGGTGTAAACGATCTGGAAGACCTGGCTGAGCAGGGAGCACAGCTCCTCGGCACCCACCTGGGAAGGAGCAGGCAGCTGTGGCAGGGGCCACGCAGGGACGTCCCCCTCTCCCTCTGGCTCTGTGGGGTGGGAGGACAGGGCTGGCCCACAGCCCAGGTCCATCGCCCTCCCGGCGTTCCCACCCGCAGCAGGAGCTGGGATGCTCCAGCATCAACCCAGAGCCCCCCACGTTCCGTGCCGAGGCTCCTCCGAGCAGCTCCCTGGGATTTTGGCTCATCCCAGAGGGGTGCAGGTGCCCCAGGCAGTGTCAGAGCTGGGAATGAGGGGAGTGAAGCTCCACCCTCAGTGGAGATCAGAGAGGCTGAGACTGGAATCCCTGGATCCAGACATTGCATGAAACAAATTCCCAGCTCAGCACAGGGAAAACAGCCCGATCAGCAAATCCCTTTTGTGGGAATGTCCTCGTGGATTCTGTGCTGCTGCAGAAGGCTCTGGGCAACAGGGACCAAGGGCAACACTTCCTGGAGACCCTTTCATGTCCCAGGGTTGGGACAGGGATCAGGAGCCCTTCTCCAGGTGCTCCAACCACACCTGGAATCCCTAAATCTGTGTTTCACAGGTGAGAGAGCAGGGGAGGATCGGGATGCACCACAGGACCTGGCCATGGTGGTGTTTGTGGCTCTGCCATCGCCACGGTCCCCGAGCCAGCAACCTCCCAGCAATGCCAGAGGCTCTGAGGCCGGGCTGGGGTGGCAGCAGTGCCAGCCATACCTTGTTCTCCGTGGCCAGGACCACCAGGCAGCAGCACTCCAGGGGCCCCCCGGCGCTCTCCGACAGCGAGCCCGACGTCAGCGCCTTGGAGCCCTCGGCACACAGGCTCTGGCTCGGCGAGATCCCGGGATCCTGGGCTGAGGGCAGAGCAGAGGTGAGCGAGGGGATGGGAAGGAGTCCTGCAGGGCAGGAGGAGCCCTGAAGCAGGAGAATGGGCTGAACAGCCTCCAGTTTGGAGCTGGTTTTGACAGTTATCTGCCCCTTTCCACAGCTTGGAATTTCCCCCAGATTTCCAGCCCAGCCCCTGAGGCATTTATTCCTTTATTCCACAGCCTATCCATGAGGTTTGTACTCAGCTAAACCCCTGGCTCAGCCCTCCCCAGCTCCCTGTTCCCAAACCATGCAGGTGTGACATGCAGAGCTGCACAGGACACGGAGCGAGGTGTCACGGAATGCTTTGCGCTGGAGTGACCTCGAAGACCACCCAGCCCCACCCCTGCCACGGACAGGGACACCTCCCACTGTCCCAGGTGGCTCCCAGGGGGACAATCCCAACTCCAGGCCCACAGCTCACCCGTCTTGAGCACCACCAGGTGTGCGGAGTCGTCCCGGATGTAGGACACGGAGGCGATGTCGTGGATGGGCACCCTGAGGATCAGGTCCTCCCCGTCCCTCCACACCAGCTTGATGTTGTAGGCAGAGAGGCTGATGACGGCGTCGTGCTCCGGGCTCAGCTGCCCTGGGAGCTGGTGGGCTCTCTGCAACACCAGGATTCACAGGGATTTACTCATGGAATGGCTGGGCTTGGAAGGAGCTGAAGGATTATCCAGCTCCCTGCCACGGCCAGGGACACCTTCCACTATCCCAGGCTGCTCCCCATCCACCCTGGTGTGGGATATTTCTAGGGATGGGTCCACAGCTTTTCTGGGAAAGGCATTCCAGCCCCTCACTGGGGTGTTTCCCCTGGGGAACAGCGGGCTGGAGAGCAGCAGCCTGCATTTGTGCTGCTGGGAGGCTGATTTGTGCTGCCCGAGCAGCCGAGCGCTCACCTTGGCGTTGTCGATCAGGTGCAGGATCTCCGTGCGGCTGGAGGGGTTCAGGTACCCCGGGATGGAAGTGAGCTGCCCTAAATACTGGGACAGAAGAGCCACAGCGTTACCACGGCGCAGACACCGTCCTGGACGTGGCAGAATGAGTCATGGAGATGCTCCAAGCAAAACTGGAGATGGCCGAGAGGTGGGAATGTCCTGAAAGAAGCTCCACAGAAACCTCAGAGCCTCTTCCAGTGCCTCAGGGGCTGCAGGAGAGCTGGAGATCTGGACAAGGGGGAACGGGCTGTCCCTGCCAGCTGGGATATGGGGAAGGCATTCCCAAGGAGCAGGGCCCCTGTGGATACCTTGACTTCCTTCTCGATGTAGTCGTGGAGCAGCAGGTCGGGCTCCACGCGGTCGGGGAGCGCCACCACCACCGTGTGCAGCGGCCGCCGCTCGGTCACCTTCTCCTGAGCCTTCTTGTCCCGGCCCTTCTCCCCCTTCAGGAACACTCGCTTGAACGGGGACACGATTCCAGGCTGGGAGAGGAACGGGAGCACCGGGGCCGGGGTGAGGAGGGGGTCTGGCAGCCCCTCCTGCCCGCCAGGCAGACCCCCAACCCCATCCTGCTGCTTTTGCCCCATGGACAGCGCTCCGTTTGGAGCCATAAATCCGTGGCTTTCCAGAGAAAAGCCTTCTCCTGGGACACAACACGGGTGCTGAGCGTTCCCACTACCAAAATATAGGGATTTCCCCCCAGAGTCACTGTGTGAAACCTTCCAGGTAAGAGAAACACAACTCCATATGCAGCAATATATTCCAGGTAAACAGAGGATCTGTGGTTTTGTACCTCCCCGAGGAGCTGATGGGGCAACTCAACAAGGAATGCCAAAGAAACAGGCAGGGATGTTCCAAGGAGACCCCAGACAAAGAAAAAATGACCTGGAAAGTGGATTTCCCTGGGAAAAACGGGAAATGCCAAACCCCGAAGCGCCAAGTTTGGAAAACCACTGGAGCCAACACACAGCTGTCCTTCGGCACGGGAATGCCACGTGGATCTTCCCAAGCTCCACACCAGATAAATGACTGGGAACATCCCCCAGCTGCTCCAGTTCCAGGTGTCCCAGGGCAAGTGGATGTTTGGAGCAGACATGTCCATGGCTGGACCCAGGAACTCCTCGGATGTGTGACTCCAGTGTCCCATTCCCTGGTGTGCTTCCCACCCCAGCACAGCCACATCCCAGCTTTCCTGATCCTCAGGGCAAGGGAAAGGAATGTGGGATCTGAAGGGGCAGACAACATGCTTCCAGTGGTGGATTCATTAATTACAAAGCAAGGAAAAGCTGCTGGGACAACGGGAATTACCAGCTCACAAGGAAACACAAGGACACTGGGGACAGCCCGGCCTGGAAAAGCAGCCCCTGGATCAGGGAGACAGAAAGGAAGGGATCTTCCAGGACAGAGAGGAGAGGAAACAGCTCCACAGCCCTGCTGCAGGAGGAGCAGTGTGGAATTTTGGGGGGCATCCCTACACAGCATCCAGGAGAAGAACCCCACGATCCTTGATCAGGGTGTTCCATCATCCTGCTGAGGGGCTGGGATGCCGGAGAGAAGGGAATCCTGGACACAGCAGGTGAGTTTAGCAAGAGCAGAGATTTGGGGAGTCTCCAACTTTGGGATGTCGCACCCGAAATCCTGCCTGCCAATGCTTAGGGATGCATTTCCACAGGAATCTTTCAGGAATTCACAGCAGAGCAATGCAGGAATGTGCCACCGAGGCTGTACCCAGACCCTTCCCCCTCCGCCAGGCAGGATCCAGAGCCACCCCAAGGCAGAGGAACCCCCTTTTCCCCCCAGGAAGTGGCTGCACCCCGAGGGCTGGGCTGATTCCGGGCTCCCCTGGCTCTCCTGGGCACCCCAAAGCCTGGGGGGAGGCGCCTCCGGTGTGACGCAGCCCGAAACAGCTCCTGCTTTTGGGGCGCCCCAAATCCCAGCACCCACCTCGTCCTCCATGGAGCCCGGGACAGGGGGAGGGAGCCGTGCTGGGGGGCTGCAGAGCTGGGGGGCACGAGGGGACGGGGCACGCTCCCCTCCTTTCGGGGTGCTGCCGTCGGGGCCAGGAAGTGCCACGGTTTCCTCTGCCCCACGTGACGGGCGGAGCGGGGCAGGGACCCACGGCGGGGCA